GTTGTCCCGGAGATATTTCTTGATGGAGTGCAGAGAGACGCCTCTCCGATCATTCAGAGCCTCTACAGCTTCAAAGACCATGTCTCCAATCGTCAAGGGCTTGGCATTAGCTCGAGGAGTCTTTGCGGAGCTCCTCACCGACGCTTTCAACTGCCTGGGTGTTCTTAATGTTCTTGGTGCCTTTAAGGACCGTGGTGTCTTCAAGGTCGACTTGGGAATTCTCAGAGATTTTGCAGGAGTTCTGGGTGTGCTTGGAGTCTTAGGCGTTTTTGGTACAAGAGTCATGTTGCCGGTTTCAAGAAGATGCTCGAATGCAAGTGTTTAGACCTCAGCCTCTGTTAATATGTATGTGTTCATCAGCAACCCTCGTCTCCCCGAAGAAGTCTAGGGTAGTAGGAGAGGTAGGAGGCGTCTCCGGTATGTGTGGTTTAAGTGTAGATCATTTTGTTTACTTATTACTGACAAATATATAGATTTCATAACATGAAAGTCCAAAATTGATGTGTCCGAGGAGAAATTATATATTAATTTGGCCAGTATATAGTCAGAGAATTTATCATAGGAAGGTTCTATGGCCCTAGGCGATCGCATTCTCTGTCAATTGTAAATAATTCGTTTTCTTTTGTTAGAAATATTTACATGGAATAAGCAGATAACATAAATAGATAATTTGTCCTATAATCTCTTTGTTGTTTTACCTAATCGGTATGGACCACGCGGAGAAAACAGACACATATGCGCCTATCTGAAAAAAAAACATTATATGATGAATAATGCTATTTTGCGACTGGTGATGTTCTGTCCGGTTGTATAACCTTTGCGCAAATTGCATTATTAATAACATTTTTTTTAAACTTAACTCTGATAACAGTAGATGATTAAGTTTTCCGTAAAGCGATTTCCATTGATAAGAGCGTATTTAACATTTCAGAAGTCTGGCACTCCGATCTCATGTAAAATATATATATAAAGTGTATTCATAAAAGGACTGATTGTTGTGCCTGTTTTCTCTTTATACCTGTTTTCTGTTTTCCCTAGAGGTGAGGAGAAGATTAAAACGAGACATCATTTAATTCATACACTTATGTCTATTTCCTCAAAAACAAACCATGAGACGTGTCGTGTAAGGTTTGCCGGATGAATGGTTTGCTGTGAAAAATGTTTTAGAAGCTTAAGGGTTTTGATATGTATATAACATCTTTTTTTCAAGCTTTATTTCTACATCAACTTTTCATGTCAACAGTGCATGCTTGTTTCATGTTACAGATTTTTGTGTAGACACAGGGTTGAATTTCCGCAACAAATGCGTTTGTATTCAGGCATTTTTATTATATCCATGGTTTAATAATTACTCTTACCACTACATACGAATTTAACAAATATGTGAAAATACGACCTTTTGTTATTTCATTTATAAAAAAGTAATGACACTGTAAATGCTATTTCAAATACGAGTGATTTGACTGTATATACATGTAAAATAGAAAATACAGTTATATATATAACTTATTTGCCATTGCTCTCCAGCTCTTTTCTCGGGAGAGAGGAACCCCTTCCCCGCCAGGATTGTATTTTAAAAGAAATTGAATGTGATAAAATTTTATTCTATTGAAATTGCGTCATTTCTGAAATAATATGAGGCAGGGTCGCAACTATGCTATAACCACCTTGAATGTCCCTCTAGCACCAATTCCAACACGATGTCGTAGTGTTCCCTCTTCCGTCAACTTTCGTACAGACTTGTTAATGTAAATAGCCTTCTTCTGCGAGTCAATTCCATTATTTTCCTTCAGGTATTTCTTGACAGCTTGAAGAGACGAACCTTTGCGGTAGTTTAAAGCTTTGAAGGCCCCGTGGACAAGGTCGACGAATTTTACCGGATATTCTGCGTTCGTTTTCGTTTTGGGCCGACCTCGTTTTTCGACCGCCTTCGCCTTGACAATTTTCTTAGCTTTCATAATTTTGGACGAAGGAACGGTAGACTTGTTTTTTGCTCCTTTGGGACGACCACGCTTCGCCTGTGCTTCTTCATTCTTCTTAGAGTTTGAAGTCGATATCAGAGACGATTTATTTTTAGAACCTTTGGGTCGACCACGTTTCTTCTGCTGCTTTTCGACTTCTCCATTCTTCTCTGATTTTCGTACCGGTGTCATAACTGATGGTAGTGCTTGAGACAGAGTGACTGTGATGCTCAAAATATAAGGAAAACATCCTTTATGTTACGCTACCCATCTATCCACGTTCCTCTTGCGAAGCGAGGGTATCCTGATGGGTTCTGTTTTATCGTTATATCCCCCGTCTCTTGTGTGAAATGATGGTGAATATTTATATTACGATAAATATTATATATGTATATAAATACATAATATGTGTATGCATAAATATATGCACATGTATATTTATATATATAAATATACACACACACACACACACACACACATATATATATATATATATATATATATATATATATATGTATATATAAATATATGCACATGTATATATAAATATATGCACATGTATATATATGTATATATAAATATATGTACATGTACATATATGTATGTATAAAAATATGCACATGTATATATATGTATATATAAATATATGTACATGTACATATATGTATGTATAAAAATATGCACATGTATATATATGTATATATAAATAAATGTACATGTATATATATGTATGTATAAAGATATGCACATGTATATATATGTATGTATAAAAATATGTACATGTATATATATGTATATATATATCCATATACATGTGTATCTATGCATATATATAAATACATAAATGCATATATATAAATACATAAATGCATATATATGAATACATAAATGCATGTATATAAATACATAAATGCATATATATATATATATATATATATATATATATACATAAATGCATATATATAAATACATAAATGCATATATATAAATACATAAATGCATATATATAAATACATAAATGCATATATATAAATACATAAATGCATACATATAAATAAATAAATGCATATATATATATATACATAAATGCATATATATACATAAATGCATATATATACATAAATGCATATATATACATAAATGCATATATATAAATACATAAATGCATATATATAAATACATAAATGCATATATATAAATACATAAATGCATATATATAAATACATAAACGCATATATATAAATACATAAATGCATATATATAAATACATAAATGCATATATATAAATACATAAACGCATATATATATGCATATATATAAATACATAAATGCATATATTTAAATATATGAATGTATGAATGTTAAAACACTCTACCGCATTGATACTATGGTAGAAAAACCCACAATATAAAGCAAGATTTATTGAAAGTGAGACTACAAGTTTCGGAATCCACCTGGATTCCATCCTCAGGTCTGAATAGGAAAGGGAGAAGAGGGGGTATAAAAGAGAGGATGGAATCCAGGTGGACTCCGATACTGTAGTTTCCTTTTCAATAAATTTAGTTTTACAGTGTGGATTTTCTACCATATAAATGTATATATTCATATATATAAATGTGTATATACAAATATATAAATGTGTATATACAAATATATAAATGTGTATATACAAATATATAAATGTGTATATACAAATATATAAATGTGTATATACAAATATATAAATGTGTATATACAAATATATAAATGTGTATATACAAATATATAAATGTGTATATACAAATATATAAATGTGTATATACAAATATATAAATGTGTATATACAAATATATAAATGTGAATATACAGATATATAAATGTATACATATAAATATATAAATGTATATACATATATAGATAGATAGATATGTACATGTTATGCACATATATAAAAAAGTATATATGCATATATACACATATACATACATGGAGACGTATGAATATGTGTATATGTGTATACACACAGAGGCATGTATGTAATGTATATATATATACATACATATATATATAGATGTGTGTGTCTTTCATCAACCATTTATTCCACTGCAGGACATTGGCCTCTCTCAATTCGCTATTGAGAGGTTATTTTTCAATGTCACCTTTGCCTGATTGGAATCCCTTCCTAATCAACCGCAGTTCAACGCGCTAACACCTATGCCACAGCGGTGACTTCCCATATGAAACCTATGTTTTGACTTCTCAAGGCGATATGTCATTTCCTCGCCGTGAGATTAGGCTCGAGGCAGCGGGGAATTGAACTCGGGACCATAAGGGTCGGAGTCCAGTGCTCTGACCACAGCTCCATCGCGGCAGTCTGTGTATACATATATGTATATATATGTATATACAGTATATCTGTATGTATATATATATGCATGTATTTATAACAGTAGATGATTCAGATCCATGTAAAGGCCTGGTGAGTGATACGAACATTGAAATAATATATTTCAATGCATCTAACCTTTCAGAAGTCTGACATTCCAATTTCACTGTATACGTGTTGGACATCAACACGTATACATTAAAAAAGATGGCTTATTATTGTGTTTTCTGCTGATAATTTTTCTTACCCCTAGAGGGGAGGTAAAATTAAAATGAAATTTCGTGCAATTCATGCAATTATATCCATGACATCAAAAACATGAGAATTGGTCGTGTACGGACTACCGAATTAATTGTATACTAAGAGAAAAAATGTATTCATTCATTCATAAGGATTTCTATACGTTTGCCAATAGCTCATGTCTGTTTAATTATACAGCTTTCAATTTTAGTGCATGGTAGAATTTCCGAGACAAATGCATTTTTATGTGAATAATTTCATGCTTAGTCTTACCACCAAAATGAATTAATGTATTGCGATTGTGAAAATATGAACTATGAATATTTAATGACAAAAAAGTAAGTGAGAGGCGTCTCTCTAGACATTGTTATTGCGCTTTTAAATAATTAAAATTTCATGAGAATACATGAACTTTTTACCTCAAGATGTGTTTTTGAATGCATATTAACGGATAATGGAAAATAATATATACATACATGCACGCACATACACTTTATTCTAGTTGAAATGTGCGTAAAACATAAACATATCATTTTAAATCTATATGACAAGGTCGAAATTACGTTGAACCCATCATGACACAATTCCAACACGATAACGTGTATGTAAGTATTTCATGACATTTATATATAACAGATATGATTTCCTATTTGAAATTTTCTTCTCGGTAGAGAGTACCCATTATTTACTGACAGGAATGTATATCAAACGAAATTGAATGCAATGAAATTTTACTTTAGTGATAGTGCCACAGTATTGTATTCATGAGACAAGGACGCAGTTATGCTGAAACCACCTTGAATGTTCCTCTGGCCCCAATCCCAACATGATGACGTAGTATTCCCTCTTCCGTCAACTTTCGTACAGACTTGTTAATGTAAATAGCCTTCTTCTGCGAATCAATTCCATTATTTTCCTTCAGGTATTTCTTGACAGCTTGAAGAGACGAACCTTTGCGGTTGTTTAAAGCTTTGAAGGCCACGTGGACAAGGTCGACGAATTTTACCGGATATTCTGCGTTCGTTTTGGGCCGACCTCGTTTTTCGACCCCCTTCGCCTTGACAATTTTCTTAGCTTTCATAATTTTGGACGAAGGAACGGTAGACTTGTTTTTTGCTCCTTTGGGACGACCACGCGTCGCCTGTGCTTCTCCATTCTTCTTAGAGTTTGAAGTCGATATCAGAGACGATTTATTTTTTGATCCTTTGGGTCGACCACGTTTCTTCTGCTGCTTTTCGACTTCTCCATTCTTCTCTGATTTCCGTACCGGTGCCATACCTGATGGTAGTGCTTGAGACAGAGTGACTGTGATGCTCAAAATATAAGGAAAACATCCTTTATGTTACGCTACCCATCTATCCACGTTCCTCTTGCGAAGCGAGGGTATCCTGATGGGTTCTGTTTTATCGTTATATCCCCCGTCTCTTGTGTGAAATGATGGTGAATGTATATTCATATTTCGATAAATATTATATATGTATATAAATACTTAATATATGTATATATAAATATATCCACATGTTTATATATATATGTATATAAATATATGCACACACACATATATATGTGTGTATATATAAATATATGCACATGTATATATATGTATGTATAAAAATATGCACATGTATATATGTATGTATGTATATATATATATATATACATCCATATTCATGTGTATTTATGTATATATATAAATACATAAATGCATATATTTAAGTATATGGATGTGTGAATGTTAAAACACTCTACCGCGTTGACACTATGGTAGAAAAACCCACAATGTAAAGCTAGATTTATTGAAAGTCAGACTACAAGTTTCGGAATCCGCCTCCTCAGGTCTGAATAGGAAAGGGAGAAGAGGGGGTATAAAAGAGAGGATGGAATCCAGGTGGATTCCGAAACTGTAGTTTCCTTTTCAATAGATTTAGTTTTACAGTGTGGATTTTTCTACCATATAAATGCATATATTCAAATATATAAATGTGTATATACAAATATATAAATGTGTATATACAAATATATAAATGTGTATATACAAATATATAAATGTGTATATACAAATATATAAATGTGTATATACAAATATATAAATGTTTATATGCAAATATATAAATGTGTATATACAAATATATAAATGTGTATATACAAATATATAAATATATATGTAAATATATAACTGTATACATATAAATATATAAATGTATATATGAGAACATATAAATGTATATATGAGAACATATAAATGTATATATGAGAACATATAAATGTATATATGAGAATATATAAATGTATATATAATATACACACACACACACATATACATAGATAGATATGTACATGTTATGCATATATATATAAATATATATGCACATATATACACATACATACGTAGAGACGTATGAATATGTGTATATGTGTATACACACAGGCATGTATGTATGTAATGTATATATATATATATATATATATATATAGATGTGTGTGTTTCAACAGCCATTTATTCCACTGCAGGACATTGGCCTCTCTCAATTCGCTATTGAGAGGTTATTTTTCGATGTCACCTTTGCCTGATTGGAATCCCTTCCTAATCAACCGCAGTTCAACGCGCTAACACCTATGCCACAGCGGTGACTTCCCATATGAAACCTATGTTTTGACTTCTCAAGGCGATATGTCATTTTCTCGCCGTCTCAAGGCGATATGTCATTTTCTCGCCGTCTCAAAGCGATATGTCATTTTCTCGCCGTGAGATTAGGCTCGAGGCAGCGGGGAATTGAACTCGGGACCATAAGGGTCGGAGTCCAGTGCTTTGACCACAGCTCCATCGCGGCAGTCTGTGCATACATATATGTATATATATGTATATACAGTATATATGTATGTATATATGTGCATGTATTTATAACAGTAGATGATTCAGATCCATGTAAAGGCCTGGTGAGTGATACGAACATTGAAATAATGTATTTCAATGCATCTAACGTATACATTAAAAAAGATGGCTTATTATTATGTTTTCTGCTGATAATTTTTCTTACCCCTAGAGGTGAGGTAAAATTACAATGAAATTTCGTGCAATTCATGCAATTATATCCATGACATCAAAAACATGAGAATTGGTCGTGTACGGACTACCGAATTAATTGTATACTAAGAGAAAAATGTATTCATTCTTTCATAAGTATTTCTATTCGTTTGCCAATAGCTCATGTCTGTTTAATTATACAGCTTTCATTTTTAGTGCATGGTAGAATTTCGGAGACAAATGCATGTGTATCAACGCATTTTTATGTGCATGATTTCATGCTTAGTCTTACCACCAAAAGGAATTGTTATTGCTCTTTTAAATAATGAAAACTTCATGAGAATACACTCAAGATGCATATTAACGGATGATGAAAAATAATATATACATATATGCACGCACATACACACTTTATTCTAGTTGAAATGTGCCTAAAAACATAAACATATTTTAAATCTATATGACAAGGTCGAAATAACGTTGAACCCATCATGACACAATTCCAACACGATAACGTGTATGTACGTATTTCATGACATTTATATATAACAGATATGATTTCCTATTTGAAATTTTCTTCTCGGTAGAGAGTACCCATTATTTACTGACAGGAATGTATATCAAACGAAATTGAATGCAATGAAATTTTACTTTAGTGATAGTGTCACAGTATTGTATTCATGAGACAAGGACGCAATTATGCTGAAACCACCTTGAATGTTCCTCTGGCCCCAATCCCAACACGATGACGTAGTGTTCCCTCTTCCGTCAACTTTCGTACAGACTTGTTAATGTAAATAGCCTTCTTCTGCGAATCAATTCCATTATTTTCCTTCAGGTATTTCTTGACGGCTTGAAGAGACGATCCTTTGCTGTTGTTTAAAGCTTTGAAGGCCCCGAGGACAAGGTCGACGAACTTCACGGGATATTCTGCATTCGTTTTCGTCTTGGGCCGACCTCGTTTTTCGGCCATCTTCGTCTTGACAATTTTCTTAGTCTTTATAATTTTGGACGAAGGAACGGTAGACTTGTTTTTTGCTCCTTTGGGACGACCACGCTTCGCCTGTGCTTCTCCATTCTTCTTAGAGTTTGAAGTCGATATCAGAGACGATTTATTTTTTGAACCTTTAGGTCGACCACGTTTCTTCTGCTGCTTTTCGACTTCTCCATTCTTCTCTGATTTCTGTACCGGTGCCATAACTGATGGTAGTGCTTGAGACAGAGTGGCTGTGATGCTCAAAATATAAGGAAAACATCCTTTATGTTACGCTACCCATCTATCCACGTTCCTCTTGCGAAACGAGGATCTGATGGGTCCTGTTTTATCGTTATATTCCCCGTCTCTTGTGCGAAACGATGGCGAATGTATGTTCATATTTCGATATGTATATAAATACATATAAATATATATGTAAATATAAATGTATACATATACATATAAGTATATATGAATATATGTGTATATATGCATACACAGACTCACACACACACGCATATACATATATATATATATACATATGTATATATATATGTATATGTATATATGTGTGTGTGTTTCAACAGCCATTTATTCCACTGCAGGACATAGACCTCTCTCAATTCACTATTGAAAAGTTATTTGGCAATGCCACCTTTGCCTGATTAGAATCCCTTCCTAATCAACCGCAGTTCGACGCGCTAACACCTATGTCACGGCGGTGACTTCCCATATGAAACCTATGTTTTGACTTCTCAAGGCGATATGTCATTTTCTCGCCATGAGATTAGGCTCGAGGCAGCAGTCACAGCGCATTTTTACGATCGCCGCGGCGGGGAATTGAACTCGGGACCATGAGGGTCAGAGTATAGTGCTCTGACCATAGTATCATCGCGGCAGTCTACGTACACACACACACATATATATATGTATATGCAGTATATCTGTATGTATATGTATGTATATATATGCATGTATTTATAACAGCCGATAATTAAGGTCCATGTAAAGGCCTAGTGAGTGATACGAACATTGAATTAATGTATTTCAATGCATCTAACCTTTCAAGTCTGACATTTCGATCTCACTGTATACGTATTGGACATCAACACGTATACAAAAAAAAGATAGCTTATCATGTTTTCTGCTGACAATTTTTCTTACCCCTAGAGGTGAGGTAAAATTACAATGAAATTTCATGCAATTCATGCAATTATATCCATGACATCAAAAACATGAGAATTGGTCGTGTACGGACTACCGAATTAATTGTATACTAAGAGAAAAATGTATTCATGGTTTTATATTCATAAGGATTTCTATTCGTTTGCCAATAGCGCATGTCTGTTTAATTATAAAGCTTTCATTTTTAGTGCATGGTGGAATTTCCGAGACAAATGCATGTGTATCAACGTATTTTTATGTGCATGATTTCATGCTTAGTCTTACCACCAAAATGAATTAATGCATTGCAAAGCGATTGTGAAAATATGAACTATGAATATTTAATGACGAAAAAGTAAGTGGCAGGCATCTCTCTAGACATATTGTTATTGCTCTTTTAAATAATGAAAACTTCAAGAGAATACACGAACTTTTTACCTCAAGATGTGTTTTTGAATGCATATTAATGGATAATGGAAATAATATATACATGCATGCACACACACACTTTATTCTAGTTGAAATGTGCCTAAACCCATAAATATATATCTTTTTAAATCTACAAGACAAAGTCACAATTACGTTGAACCCATCATGACAAAATTCCAACACGATAACGTGTATATACGTATTTCATGACATATGATTTCCCATTATTTGCCGACAGGATTATATATCAAAAGAAATTGAATGTAATAAAATTTAGTGATAGTGCATGAAACAAGGACACAATTATGCTGAAACCACCTTGAATGTTCCTCTGGCCCCAATCCCAACACGATGACGTAGTGTTCCCTCTTCCGTCAACTTTCGTACAGACTTGTTAATGTAAATAGCCTTCTTCTGCGAATCAATTCCATTATTTTCCTTCAGGTATTTCTTGACGGCTTGTAGAGACGATCCTTTACTGTTGTTTAAAGCTTTGAAGGCCCCGAGGACAAGGTCGACGAACTTCACGGGATATTCTGCATTCGTTTTCGTCTTGGGCCGACCTCGTTTTTCGGCCATCTTCGTCTTGACAATTTTCTTAGCTTTTATAATTTTGGACGAAGGAACGGTAGATTTGTTTTTTGCTCCTTTGGGACGACCACGCTTCGCCTGTGCTTCTCCATTCTTCTTAGAGTTTGAAGTCGATATCAGAGACGATTTATTTTTTGAACCTTTAGGTCGACCACGTTTCTTTCTGCTGCTTTTCGACTTCTCCATTCTTCTCTGATTTCCGAACCGGTGCCATAACTGATGGTAGTGCTTGAGACAGAGTGGCTGTGATGCTCAAAATATAAGGAAAACATCCTTATGTTACGCTACCCATCTATCCACGTTCCTCTTGCGAAACGAGGATCTGATGGGTCCTGTTTTATCGTTATATTCCCCGTCTCTTGTGCGAAACGATTGCGAATGTATGTTTATATTTCGATATGTATATAAATACATATAAATATATATGTAAATATAAATGTATACATATACATATAAGTATATATGAACGCGCTAACACCTATGTCACGGCGGTGACTTCCCATATGAAACCTATGTTTTGACTTCTCAAGGCGATATGTCATTTTCTCGCCATGTGATTAGGCCGAGGCAGTAGTCACAGCGCATTTTTACGATCGCCGCGGCGGGGAATTGAACTCGGGACCATGACACACACCACACATATACACTATATATATATGTATATGCAGTATATCTGTATGTATATGTATGTATATATATGCATGTATTTATAACAGCCGATAATTAAGGTCCATGTAAAGGCCTAGTGAGTGATACGAACATTGAATTAATGTATTTCAATGCATCTAACCTTTCAAGTCTGACATTTCGATCTCACTGTATACGTATTGGACATCAACACGTATACAAAAAAAAGATAGCTTATCATGTTTTCTGCTGACAATTTTTCTTACCCCTAGAGGTGAGGTAAAATTACAATGAAATTTCATGCAATTCATGCAATTATATCCATGACATCAAAAACATGAGAATTGGTCGTGTACGGACTACCGAATTAATTGTATACTAAGAGAAAAATGTATTCATGGTTTTATATTCATAAGGATTTCTATTCGTTTGCCAATAGCGCATGTCTGTTTAATTATAAAGCTTTCATTTTTAGTGCATGGTGGAATTTCCGAGACAAATGCATGTGTATCAACGTATTTTTATGTGCATGATTTCATGCTTAGTCTTACCACCAAAATGAATTAATGCATTGCAAAGCGATTGTGAAAATATGAACTATGAATATTTAATGACGAAAAAGTAAGTGGCAGGCGTCTCTCTAGACATATTGTTATTGCTCTTTTAAATAATGAAAACTTCAAGAGAATACACGAACTTTTTACCTCAAGATGTGTTTTTGAATGCATATTAACGGATAATGGAAATAATATATACATGCATGCACACACACACTTTATTCTAGTTGAAATGTGCCTAAACCCATAAATATATATCTTTTTAAATCTACAAGACAAAGTCACAATTACGTTGAACCCATCATGACAAAATTCCAACACGATAACGTGTATATACGTATTTCATGACATATGATTTCCCATTACTTTTCTTCTCGGTAGAGAGTAACCATTATTTGCCGACAGGATTATATATCAAAAGAAATTGAATGTAATAAAATTTAGTGATAGTGCATGAAACAAGGACACAATTATGCTGAAACCACCTTGAATGTTCCTCTGGCCCCAATCCCAACACGATGACGTAGTGTTCCCTCTTCCGTCAACTTTCGTACAGACTTGTTAATGTAAATAGCCTTCTTCTGCGAATCAATTCCATTATTTTCCTTCAGGTATTTCTTGACGGCTTGTAGAGACGATCCTTTACTGTTGTTTAAAGCTTTGAAGGCCCCGAGGACAAGGTCGACGAACTTCACGGGATATTCTGCATTCGTTTTCGTCTTGGGCCGACCTCGTTTTTCGGCCATCTTCGTCTTGACAATTTTCTTAGCTTTTATAATTTTGGACGAAGGAACGGTAGACTTGTTTTTTGCTCCTTTGGGACGACCACGCTTCGCCTGTGCTTCTCCATTCTTCTTAGAGTTTGAAGTCGATATCAGAGACGATTTGTTTTTTGAACCTTTAGGTCGACCACGTTTCTTTTCGACTTCTCCATTCTTCTCTGATTTCCGTACCGGTGCCATAGCTGATGGTCGTGCTTGAGGTAGAGTCACTGTGATGCTCGAATTGCAAGAAAATCCTCTTTTATGTTACGCTATTCATCTTCCCCTGTCTCTCGTCCGAAACAAGGATTTATGTCACGCTACCCATCTACCCACGTTCCTTTTCCGAAACGTATTTACATATGTAAATATATTCATGTATATATACATATGTACGTGAATATATATAAATACATACATGTATATGTATAAATATATACGTAAACATATGGATATATACAAGTATACTTGTAAATATATATATATATATATATATATATATATATATATATATAAATATATGTATATATAAATATATGTATACATATAAATATATACGTCTATGTATATATATATATATATATGTGCATATATATAAATATATATGTATACAGGTATATGTATACATGAATATATATATATACATATATATATATATATATATATATATATATATATATATATATATATATATGTATGTATATATATATATATATATATGTGTGTGTATGTATACATATGTGTAGATAAATGTATATGTATATATATATACACGCATATATAGATATATATAAATAGATAGATAATTAGATATTCTATATATATATGAATATATGGATATATGTATAAATATGTGTGTGTGTTTGTGCTTATGTATGTATGTGTGTGTTTGTGTTAATGTATGTATGTGTGTTAGTGTGTGTCTATATTTGTATATGAATATACACTCTATATGCATATATATACATATACAAATATGTATATGTGAATATATATATATATATATATATATATATATATATATATATATATAGTATATGTAGTTATATATTGTATATGTATATATATATATATATATATATATATATATATATATATATATATATATATGAATATATAAGTGGACACTTACATATATATACGCATATACATATATATACATATATATGTATATATATGTGTGTGTGTGGTTAGTGTATGTATATGTGTTAGTGTATGTATGTGTCTAACTTTGTACATAAATGTATACTGTATATGCATATATATATATATATATATATATATATATATATATGTATGTATATGTCTATATACAGACATATACACACATGTAAATTCTGATAACACCAGATAATAAGAACACTGTAAGAGTTTTCGTTGATACGAGCATTGAAGTGGTGTCTTTCAATGCATCTAACCTTGTAGAAATCTTGTCTTTTGATATCAGGTAAAGCTGTTGGCCATCAACATGTGCAAGTATATTAACAAAATCATTTTTCCCCCTAGGGTGTGGAAAAATTAAAACGAGACATCATTTAATTCATACATTAATTTCCGCGTCCTGAGAATGAATGCAAATTAATTGTTAATCGTATAAAGATTGTATTTATCGGTTTAGATTCATTCGAATGTAACAGCTATTCTTCCGAAATTTATTTTTATGTCAACTTTAATGTCTGCTCTTACCACCAGATATGATTTTAGGTAGTAGAAAGCTCGTGTGAAAATATGTAAGGATTTGTAAGTAAGAAACAGGCTGGCCACATAATCTGGCTGTCAATTCTGATTTAAATAACTGTTCAAAAGGTGGTTTACCTGTAAATCATTATCGAATAATGTGTATAATGAATAATGATTCATATACATATGACATAGCAGGATTGTATTTTAAAAGAAATCGAATGTAATAAAATTTTATTCTACTGAAATTGTCACATTTCTGATATTA